GAAGAACTTTTATTTGACAAGTAGATGACAGGAAGAAGGCAATCTCCCAAACAGAGGCTGGAAGTATAAAATTCTCCTGTAAGATTAATGTTCTCTTTTGTTTCAATACCTAAATAACTTACTCATTCTTGTTTCAAAGAAACCCATTTATGTCCATAAATTGTGTGAACATAAGCATGTGACAATAAGGATATAAAATGTATCGTATAATGGGGTGCTCTTCAAAGTATGTTAATTTAATTAAAGCAAAAATGGGTATGGATAATATTTAACAACATTCCCCCTAAAATGTGGAACACGACTTGCTGGAATAAATAATGAACATGAAGAATTCTGAGAAGGGTCAGACCTAAGACTATGAACTGAAGCAACATGAAATAAACAGAACCAAGAAGACAGGCTATTCAATAGTTACAACATGGAAAGAACAATGATAAACCCCCCAATATTTGGTAATTATAATGATCAAGCTTGGCCCTGAAAATGAGGAAAGAATCCATAGGCCTCCTTTTATTTTCAAAGTGGAAGAGGGCCTCTGAGCACAACACACAGCCTGTACTGTCAGGCTCAGCTCATGTTTGCAGATGTGACGAACTGAAAGCTCTCGCTCTCTCTCACTCACTCTAATTCTTTTTTAAAAATTTATTGATATGTTTTGTTTTTACATTATCTAGCTATCTGCTGCATCCCTAACCCTTTCTCCTCTGAGAGAGATATCCCTCAGCAAAAGATTTTTTCCTCCCAAAGGGGAAGAAGACAAAAAATTCAACAGAACTGATCAATACATCAAAAAAAAATTAAACCTTTCTCTTTCTCTTCTCTGCTTCTCTGTGTCTCTCCCCCTCATTTTCTTTCTTTCTTTCTTTCTTTCTTTCTTTCTTTTTTTTTTTGGCTAGGCAATGGGGTTAAGTGACTTGCCTGGGGTCACACTTCCAGTAAGTGTTATGTGTCTGAGGCCACATTTGAACTCGGGTCCTCCCGAATCCAGGACCGGTGCTCTATCCACATCTTCCCCTCATTTTCTCTCTCTCACTCCCCCTCCTCCCTCTTCCTCTCTCTTTCTCTCTCACTTTTTCTTTAGTACAAGAGATAGTTTAGGGGAAAGAAGGTATTTGGAAATGAAGGTGCTATATTAACAAATGACATTTTTTAAAAATAAAAATTATGGATGTGGATAATACTTAGTTTCAATATATTTTTATGTTTTTCAATTTTTAAATATATTAAATTTTTAACTAGATACAAGGCCAGAAGGATCCCTAGATGACAGAGTTAGAACTAGAAAGAACGTCTGAGGCAATCTCCTAGAAGCCCCTCATTTTACTGATTAAGAAACCAATCCCAAAATGTTCAACAATTTGTCTGAGATCACATGGGTGTTCATTTTCAGACACCGGTTTTGAAACAGTTCCTCTGCCTGGTGCCACTTCCAGTGGACCACACTGCCTAGGAAATCAGATCGTTCTGACTGAAAAAAGGCCTTCCCAGTTTCACTGCCCTCCTCAGACCCACACTGGCAAATGACGTCCCCTTCTCAGTGCCTTGAGCAACTCTCCTAGGCTCAAAACTGCAGAGTAGAATCGCAGGATTACAAAATCCAAACATTAGAAGGTACCTGAACAGTCATCCAATCTAATTCATACGCAAGCCGAACCCCCACTAAATCATATCCATCAGAAAGTTATCCAGCCTCTGCACCTTTTAAGGCAGCCCATTTCACAGATGGATAACCCTCATTGTTAGGAAATTTTCAACCAAAAGCTGCTCAGCAGTTGGAGATTTGCATTCATAAAATGAGTTTCCTCATCTAACTCACAGGTCTGTACCAAAAAGAAAAAAAAATCAATTACCGAACCTCTTTCATGACCACAAGGGACCTCAACGGTGGGGGTTTCAAAAGACTCAGAGGAAACATAGGTAGATGATCTCATGGACTACAATGCTTCAAGGGAAGTCAGCCAGGAGGGATGGGAAATGCTTAAGAAGGAAATTCTGAAGACAGAGAGAGAAACAATTCCAATGAGGAGGAAAAATGAGATTTGTCTGAAGAGACTGATGTCTAGGCATAAGAAACTCACAAGCCAAATTAGATTTTAAAAAGAAATGTGCAGAAGATGGAAGCAAAGCTAAGTAACAGAAGATGAATATAAGAGCGAGGCAGAGTACTCTGACAAAGTGTCAGGAATGCTATAAGGCTCAGAATGAGCTAAGGCTGTCGAGAGAAGCTAAGGATAACAAAAAGCAAGATTTGTTTTGGTTTGGGATTCTGTAGTGATATTCGGAGGAAAAGGAACATCCAAGAAAGGGTAGAGCTTCGCCTGGGGTAGATGGTACAATGATAACTAACAAAAGAGAGAAGGCAGAGATGACTCCTCCACTGGGCCAAAGAGACTCACTTCTATGCTGAAATTCACAGAAACAAAGCAACAGAGAGATGACGCCATAGTTAAAAAGGCCCAGGTGCCCCTGTGGAATTCACATCACCTGGCCCTGATGAACTCCACCCTCAGGCCCTGAAACGACTGGCAGATGGAACTGCTGAGCCACTGTCAATGATACTGGAAAGATCATAGAAAACAGGAGGGCTAGCACATGATCGAAGAAAGGCAAATAATGTTCCAACTTCCAAAAAAGGGAAGAGTGTAAACTATAAGCCAGTGAGGGTGCCTCTGATTGTGGGGAAAATTCCAGAAGGCACTGTTAAAGAGACGGTAGGTGACCATCTAGAATCAGAAGCAGTGATTACAAAGAAGGTGCATAGCTTCATGGAGAGTGGATCAGGGGAGACAAACCACATTGTCTTTTCATGAGAAGAGGAAGGGGACACTGGGGAGATACTTTACCCAGATTTTCAGGAAGCTTTTTTAAAGTATCTCATACCATCCTGTGGAAAAGATGGAGAAAGAGAGAGCAGATCTGTGGTTCTCAAAATTTTCCACAGTGGTTGAACTCTTCCATTAAAAACAAACAAATAAGCCTTTGGCAGAAATCTTACAGTAAAATCTTTTTAAATGATCTGTTAAACAACATAGGGTTCATTTTTTTTAAAAAGTACACTTGAGGTATTTCAGGGTTTTCTGTTAATACAATTCCCAATGGATTCAGAACCCGTGAATGGCCAGGCTCAACGAAGCCTTGTTACTGTTAAGAAGTCTTGGTAGGTAATAAGTCTCTCGATGTCAATGTGGCAAGGGATCTTTAGTGGAGAGTCCCAGGGATCTGGGCTTGGTTCTGTGCTGTTTAAAGGTTCCTCAACTTTACAGATAACCCAAAGCTGAGGCAGATAGCTAACACAGTGAACAATGGAGCAAGGATCCCAAATAATCCCAAGGATAGCCAAAAGCACTGGGCTGAATCAAATATGATGAAATTCAACAGGAATAAATGGAAAGTGTTGTGCTTTCATAAAAAAAAAAAAATGAACTTTCTAAGTTCAAGATGTAAGAGGCATGGCTAGACAGAAGTTCTGGAAAAGATCGGGAGGTTTTAGTGGACAGCAAGGTCACTATGAGTTAATAAGGCAATGAGGCAGTCAAAAAAAGCACATTTGATCCTGTACTGCATTTAAAGGGGCATAGTTTCCAAGAATAGGGAGAGCATCATCCTGCTATACTTTGCCCCAATCAGAGCTCATCTGTGTCCAGTTTTAAGCACAACAGGTTAAGGATACTGATAAACTAGAGTGTGTTTAGAATGGTGAAGGGCCCTGGGGTCACTGCACTGGAGAAGCAGCTGAAGGACTTGGGCGTGTTTAGCCTAAAGACAAGTAGATCCAAGGTAAAAAGATTGGTGTCTTCAAGTATTTGAAGGGCTCTTATGTAGAAAAGGGATGAGATTTGTTCCATTTGGCAGGAACCAGAAGCAATGGATGGAAGGTGCAGAGAGGCCAGTTTAGATTTGATACCCTAATAATTCAAGCTGCCCCAAAGGAGGTGTGGGAGGATTCCCCTCCTTGGAGATCTTCAGGAAGAGGAGATTCCCTTTATGTAGAGGTTGGATTAGATGGCCACTGGGATCAGGACATTCACCTAGGCTCCTGTCATTTGCAATGTGTTTTCCTTAAAACAATCCTAGGAGATACTAGGGCAATACAAGTATAATCTATAAAGGATGGTCCTAGCTCAAAGAGGTTGGGAGACCTGCCCATGGTCACATGGTGAGAGCAGAAGAGCTTAGGGCATCTCTGACCCCAACTCCAATGTTTATGCTCTTTAATAAATGGCCACCTTGGCTGAGAAGTCAGGAAGACCTAGATTGCTGCCCCAATATCAGAGCAGTCATCAAGTCATAATATAACATGCAATGCACTACAGATTTCCAACTTTCAATTAATACAAGAGAATCCTGGAACTAGCAAATGTCGAAAAGGGAAATAAATCAAATCACTGAAAAACTATTACTACACAAGCATACATGTGACAACTACCAAAGCATTACTTTTTATTTAGGGGTGGCAAGAGGGATCACTTTTAATTCAAAGATAAAGAAAAGAGCTGTGAGATTTTGCTAAGAAACATAAAGGTTACATGCCCAATCTCCATATTCCAGATTCACTACAGTGTAGCCTCTGTACATGGTAAAAGCTAGTTAAGCCATGCCTAATCTGCATGCATGTCTAGGCATACAAAGGCTTAAGTATTCAACAACCTCATCTCATCCATTTTCCATTTATTTAATAATCTTTTATTTTGTCTTAGTCGGAATAAAATGAGAGCTTAAAGAGTGATTCATATTCATTATGACTCGCGTGAAGGTTGGATTTTCGGGTTTCTAAATCACATTTAAAATTGCACTCTGAGAAAGAAAAATACTAGGGCACCTGAATTCAAGGCTACGAGGGTCATGGCATGGAAGGAGCACAAAAGAACTTTCTCCTTGTTTTCCTAACTCAGTCTTTCCTTTGGTGTTTCTGTGTGTTTTTGTTTTTAACAATTTAAATCAGTAATGCAAGTAGCCACAATCATCAGCTTCTCTGAGAATGTGATTACATTTCAACCTACCTTACAAAGAAAGTTGATGTTGAAACCCAGCGATTGGGCATTTCGGGAGCCTGAGTTCATGTAGTTGCCAACCAGGAGAACCAGCTCTAAGAGTCGATTAAAGCTTTCACTCTTTTTCATTTCTTCACAGGCTAGAGTTACTGCCATGATGCTGGGTTTGATGTTGTTTACATGTTCTTCAAACGTGAGCTTGAAAAGGATGCTATGGAGACGAGGTCTTAACATTTTCACTGAGCTCATCTGCAAGACAAAGGGATTCTCTGTAACAATGCACATTCGGAAAAAAAAGAAAGTTTCCTTTAGAGTTCCCTCTGGCAAGAGAGAAGCTCATGCAGAGCTCTGGATTATAACAACTCCATAAGCTGTACCTCCTAGAAGGGTCTTTTTAACCTTATGTTTTTCCTTAGATATCCAGTTGGGAGAGTGTACCAGAAGTTTCTCGGAAAACAGTGCGCTATTCACCTTGGACAACCCAGTATAATGAGAGTGACCACGTTCATTAGAGAATCAGTCAGGTTCGACAGGTACATTTATGTACGATGACTGCACTATTAATGGCCTCCTCAAATGCATATACTTTCAAGGGCCTTCCTCAAGATAATTTAGGAAAATCTGCTGCAGGATATTGAGAGGAATGAGTAGGCCAAATGCAGAGAGGCAATGGCAAACAACACTGGTGAGGCTTGATTTCCTAAGAAATTACCTATTGATATGCTGTTTAAAATCCTCATACTGGCTGTGATTGAGCAATTAATACATTTTTCAAGAGTATGAAGTACTCCTTAGATTTCTATTCATTATATATATACATATGTGTATATATATATATATATATATATATTAAACATTCATGTTCTTTATAAAGAATTTCAAACAAATGGCAGGATATGGATGCTAAATGTGTCATGGTAAAATCATAGGAACTTACTTTAAAGTACACATTTCAAAGATCCTTATGTTGGTTTTGTCCAAAGCAGTTCATCTTGGTTTTAATTACTTGTTTCAGAGCCTGAGTGCACATTAGACATTCCCTTTGGAACAGTTGCCACAATTATGAACGCTTTCTTAATCTTTCATAACCTATGAATAAAAAAACCTGGCCTACACATAACAATTTTCAGTCTAGCAATGAGTGACTGGGCTAAGAGAGAAGCATATTCTAAACAAACAAAAAAAGGATTCTAATTTCTAATCACATAGATATTCATACACATTCCTTGTTCCAAGCACAGTGCCAGACATATAGTATGTACTTAGCAAGATATTGTTTGGCCTGATGTTTAAAAAGAGATTTTACCACTAACATAGGAATAATAATAAAAATAGTTATTAGCGTTTCTATAGATCTTTAGGGAGTGCATATATACATATACACACACACATATATATTTTATAATATATATGTGTATATGTGTGTGTGTATATATATATATGTATACACACACACATACATGTGTGTGTATGTAAAATTTTATCCTCACAACAGTCCTGTGAATTAGATGCTATTATTATCCCCATTTTACAGATGAAGAAACTGAAGCAGAGAGAGGTTAAGCAAATTAACCAGATCACACAGCTAGCAACTGTCTGAGGCAGGATCTGAACATGGGCCTTCTTGACTCCAAGGGCAGAGCTCTATCCATAGTACCACTCAGCTGCCTCCACAAGGAAGTCTACAGCACTCTGAACTAAAGCCTAATTCCATCTGTCTTTCCTCATCAGAAAAGCATAATCCAATCTTTCTTGGAGCTCTTGCAATTTGATCTATCAGAGGGGAAAATTATAACCAAATTTGGTGTGGAAATATAAATCGTTATTTCTCTTCATTCTCTCAACCTGACCCACTTCATTCAGATCTCTCCTTTGGTTCTTTAATATGTCTCCTGTGAGGCAGGCGTCACCCTTCGGAATGAGTATCCTTTCCAAATAAAAAAGGCGATCTGAAGAATAATTCTAAAGACAGAAGATTATGTGAAGTCTCTTGGTTCAGGGGGTCTCATCCTGTCCCTAGATATTTTAGCATATGACCCAGTTCTGTCTGAGTATAGCAGATTTTGGACAAGAATTTACAGATCACTAATTTCTGTTACGTGTCAAATAAAGGCTTTCAAATTTTGATGCCACTTCTTTTCCATTCCCCTTATATTCCACCTCACTAATAGAGTAGGAATTCTAGACAATTAATTTATTATTTTTTGGATTCTTTCAAAGAAATAAAAGCAATATACCTTCAAGGTCTGCATGTCCAGATAATCACTTAGCATTTGTCCAAACAAGTAGTATACGCTGATTATGATCTACCAATTTACATTCCTAATTCATTCTTTGAAATTTAAAGTTCAAAACAACATTCATGGACATATATTGTACCCCCTTGCCAATGGATGAATTATTCAGCCTCTGCTTAAAAAAAAAAAAAAAAAGAAGAAAAGGAAAAAAAAAGAAAAGCTCTTGTAACATGCTCAGGGGTCACACAGCTAGTAAGTATAGGAAGCTGAATTTGAACTCAGATCTTCATGACTTGAAGTCCAGTGTTCTTATTCACTATACCACCTAGCTGCCATGAAAATAGCTAGCATTAATATGTTGTTTTACTGTTTGTAAGGAATTTTACAAGTCAGATCATTTGAAAATTATAACAACCCTAGGAAGCAGTTATTATTATTCCTATTTTACAGATGAGGAAACTGAGGCTCAGAGAGGTTAAGTGACTTGACCAATGTCAAATCTGTAGTAACTCTGGTGTCAAATTTGAACTCAAGTTTTTCTCATTCTTAAGGCCAGCAGTCTCTCCACAGCACTATGAACTGCCTTCAGAGTCCCTATTCTACTCCAATCCTATGGCCTGCTCCTTCCTTCTCAATAGTGATGGGTCAGGACTCTCTAATTCTCTCAGCCCTTGTCCTTGTATGGGCAGGGAGCTACCAATTACAATCTTTCCAATAAGATATTGGACCACCATTTGTGGTTGGTAGACAATAAGCACTTAATAAAGGCATGTTTATTATCACTATACTCTTCAGTCCATTAGGCCTGTATCTGCTGTTATCATACCCACCAGACTCCCAGGAATTGACAATGTACCCTAATGACCCATAAATGGACTTTGCCATCCATCCTGAAGCTGCCCCCTTGGGAGCAGTTAGACTCTTCTAACCAACCTGCTGCTGAATTCTTCCATACGTGTGGTCTCTCTCTCCCAAATAGAACGAGTTCCTTGAGAACAGAGACTGTCTCACTTTCCTATTTTTATTCATGGTGCTTCAGTTAGTAGGAATAGTAAACTAGACATGTGGTTTCACTAACTCAGGACTCCCAAATGAGCAATCTCTCTCTAGCAATGCACATTCACACCTTCCGCAAAATTTGGAGAGTTGTGCAGATGCCGAGAAGTTAACAGATTTGCCCAGGGACTAATATTAAGAGAAAGTCAAAAGCCTGTTCCCAAGAGTCAGAGTTCACCTTCGGGAGTTCTTTCCCTTAGTACAATTCCCTTAGATTGGTTCCACCACTCCTTAGATATGTTACTTGGGCAAGTCAGTCAATAAGCATTTATTAAAAGTTTATCGGGAGAGAGATACAGTGCTGTGCTCCTCAAATAAATATATGGGGATACATGCAGTCCCTGCCTTCAAAGAGCTTACATTCTTATGGGGGAAAATAATATATAACAGGGAACTGGATAATGGGAAGAAAGTACCCATGAGGAGGGAGGAATATACTGGTATAACGTGGAGAATAAAGCATGGCTACTCTGAGGCCTTCTTCAAAATGCAGGTTCTGTGAGAAACTCACTGACATGAGAAGGTGCTTGTGCTTGCCGAGGTGGAAGGAGAAGGCAGTTGAAGTATGGTAGCCAAAGTGAGAGAGTACATAGTAACTTAACCTTCTGAGCCTTAGTTTTCTTTCCTATCAAATGACAATCTCAACCCTCACCTGACTTTTCCAATAGGGCTCCAGTGAGAATCAAAGATTAGAAATGTACAAAAACGAGATCTGTAACATCACTAAGGGCATTGCAAATGAAGGTAGCATAACTATGCAAACAAAATCCATTCCTAGACAAAAGATAGCTCCACACTTCAACACGTAGTTATTAAGTACCTATTATGTGCCAGGCCCATGCTAGACTTCTGGGGATAAAAGTAATCCCTTCCTGCAGTAGCTTCATATACACATAAAAGGAATTAGAGAACACATACAAAATAACTACTAAGTCCTGGGGGTAGGGTGGGTGAGGGGGGAAGAAAGCACTATGGGGGCAAATCAGGAGAAGCCCCTTAGAAGAGATGGCACCTGAGCTGAGCCTTGAAGGGAGCTAAGATGCCAGGAGGGTGAAAAGATGCAAAAGAGAGTCACAAGCACAGAGGTAAAAATGGAGACCAACAAACAGGTGAGTTTGGTTGGAACATCAAGTGCCTGAGGGCGTGCGGTGCAATCTGCCTGGAAAGATCACTTGGAGCTGCTCTCCAAAGGGCTGGAGCTGCCAAAGCAAGGAGGTTGTATGGAATCCCACAGACAAGACAGAGCCAATGACTCCTTTCCAGCAGGAAACTGACAGAACAGGCAACAACATTTCCTGTTGAAGAGAAGTCTTTGATTCCAATCAATTAAACAAGTTTACTACAGTGCAAGGCAGTGTGCTAGGCTAACTAACATATATAAATAATACATCCCCAGCCAGGTATAGAATTATTAAAAGACACTTGAGTACACCTAAGTGATACAAGTAAATAGAACAAAAACTATGTTGAAATACGTTTGTTTTCAGTTGTCATCCCTTGCAGCACTGAAGATGACTGGCATTCTTTGTTTTATTATTCATTCCTTGAAGTGCTGTGGGACATTGACCACAGTGGTGTATTATGGCAGGGATTTATTTGTGTTATGAGGTACTTGTCTATCAAAACCACATCAACGGGCTCTCACTTCTTGTGCTGATTTGCACTATGTTAAAAAAAATGCAGTGAGAGCAGCTACAAGTGGGTTATTTCCCCACAGAGTTGGACGTACTTTTGTTTATAATTTAAGTCTTACATACTTCACTACTTATGCAGCTGGTGAATACTGCTCCGCCATCCCAATGTCACATTCATTTGCAAAAAAAGGCAACAACCATTAAAGCACATGCCAATGTGTGCTCATGCTCACGCGTGTGCACATAGACTGATCCCTATAACCAAGGGATCCCTATAACCATGCTGCTACATGTAGAAAGAGAGCCTATCATTAGCCTGCAA